GAAACATGCCAAGATCCCCGAAGCGGCGGAGTCCCAAAATCCAATCCCGACGTCATTTGCGACTATCAGGAGAACGAGTACGACAGATCCCTCCATCAATATCATCAAACTTACAAAACGATAGCACTTGTAGCACTGGAAGCGGCTCGTCCCAGAAGCATATCGCACGAGTCCCACTAGTCGCTACTGCCTTTCTGTTGCGCCTGAAGCAGGATCATCTACACATCGGTGGAAACATCAGCAGCTGTCTCCGTCCCACGCTGTTTCTGCTGCTTACGCGGTTCAGAAAACATCGGCAGGGGTGGGTTTTCAACACATCGGGCAACGCGGGCCTATTTTAGGGGACAGGCTATTTGACTACTTGCTCGCCGTGAAATGGGTGATGGACGTGCAGAAAACATCGGCAGGGCTGGGTTTTCAGCACATCGGGCAATTGTTTCCTACATAGGGCAGGCCTATTTTAGGGGGCAGGCTAATTGACTACTTGCTCGCCGTGAAATGGGTGATGGACGTGCAGAAAACATCGGCAGGGCTGGGTTTTCAGCACATCGGGCAATTGTTTCCTACATTGGGGGGCAGGTTGTGTGAGCACTTGCTCGCACGAAGTAGTTGTTACGGAAAGTGGCCTTGTCGTCGTCTGGCATGCTCGCAGCTCCGTCAAACACGCAGAAGAGTGCAAAAGTGGAGCACTGAACCCGTGCCGTGCTGAGAGCTGCTGAAGCCAAAACTCTGTAGACCAGTGCCGTGCTGAAAGAAGCTCACTTTGAAAACATCGTTGCAACTGCGACGGGTTTGGAGGGAGAAAGAGTCGAGCTTGGGCGTTTTGGGCTTGCAGAAGTCCAAAATCACGGAATTCAGCACTCACAACTGGGACAAGCCTGGCGAGGTTCCAAGTACGACGACGATAGCACATTGGCCAGGGCAGGCATATTCACCACACCCAAACTCACTCTCTAATTAAATCCCAACACTACTCATCCATCACATGATCTCCTTCCACACTCCACGATCACAACTTTGTCATCCCAATCTTCACCTCCTATACAGCTCCGTTGCCGAGACATGCACATGCAGCACGAAAACATGACGCATGGCTTATCTCAGCCTACACAAAATCACGGAATTATCCCCCCCCCCAACCCCCCCCCAACACCGAAAAAGTTGCAAAAGTGGCTGAAACTACACGCGCGGGTACGCGCCGCACTCAAACTACTAGCCACCCCCCGCTACCAACCACACTTTGTCATTGTCATCAACATCATCACCACCAACATCACGAAACAAACAAACACATCTCACCACCAACATCACCAAAAAGCAAACACATTTCATCACCTTTCATCACCAACATCACCAAAAGTACTGTAAATGCCGAGTAAAAGCTCGGGTGCGTGCGGACGAAACAGCAAACACATCTCATCACCAACATCACCAAATAGCAAACACATTTCATCACCTTTCATCACCAACATCACCAAAAGTACTGCAAATGCCGAGTAAAAGCTCGGGTGCGTGCTGACGAAAAAGCAAACACATTTCATCACCAACACCACGAAAAATCAAACACATTTCATCAGCTTTCATCACCAACATCACCAAAAGTACTGTAAATACCGAATAAAAACAGGGTTGCGTGCGAAAGTAGTGTAAATACCGGAAAAGCTTTCCCCCACCCAAGTCCGAGTTTTCGCTGCAAGCCGTTCGAGACTAGAAGTAGGGGTGGCCACTATATAAGAAAGCGCGAAATATCGAAAGTAGTGTGAATACCGAGTAAAACGGCTCTTGCGGTAATGTTGCTGGTTGTCTTTGCGTAACACTGTCGTCATCATCCGACCCCACCCCCCCGCAGAAGCAAGTCCAAAATCAACAGGCCGAGTTTGCAGACTCGGCAAGTCGATTTTGAGGCTTCTTTTGATGATCGAACATGACGAAAGTGCTGTAAATACCGAATAAAACGGATGTGCCCTTATGATGGCTTAGAGCCGACTACTACTACTACTACTACTACTACTACTGCTACTACTACTACTACTACTACTACTACATAATACTACTACTACTACTACTACTACTGCTACTACTACTACTACTACTACTACTGCTGCGACAACTACTGTGACAACTACTGTTGGCCTACTGTTGATGACATACATCCTGCATGACCTTAAGGACCGTAAACTATGGGAATTCTGGTATATTCCTGATTCTGGGTAATGCAAGATTTATATCATCCACCGTACTACTACTACTACTACTACTACTACTACTACTACCTCTACTCTACTCTACTC